GGCAATGATTGTTTTGATAATGTTGACATGTTTTTTTGAGGCAACAAGATTGTTTGCTTGTGTTTAGTTTCTTTAGCAGTCTTCAGCATTGACAGATGGGATTGGAAGATGTCACCATCCCCATGATCTTGCATGGTTTGTTTCAAAAAAATAGTCATATAATGTCTATATTCAGCGACTATACCCTCCACGGCCAGCTGATTTCAAATGGGAAAAAACATGGGTAATCAAATGTAATCAAATAATCACAGATCAATGGATTGTGATTGCCACGATTTACAAATTACATTTTGTTTTACACATGATAAATAGGAAAATAAGATCAACATCTATATAGATTTATGAAGTTAAGTTACTAATGGTGATTTGTTGCTTTCATGCCCGAAACAGCCACAGGACTCGCATGCCTCGTCGAGTTCCTCCGGAGAGGAGAAGATCCGGTGGAATTTCTATGATTCGGATCGTGATGGTGGATTTCTACATGGATTTCTGGTGATTTTCGATGCATTTGTCGATTTTCCTGCGGGTGCGGGGTATATGTTCAGGACGATGGGGGCATGGACGGGGAGCTCTTTCTCTGGAATCAGCAAGTCACTGGGCCATAATTTAGCAAGACACTAGTGAGTCACTAGTGAGGCTATGATACTACTCAGTTGGTGGTTTCAGCTTGTTTCAAATAAATATTTATATATATACACATAATATAGCATATGTCACGTCTTTCCCAAGCAGTGGTAGGATGATGTAGGATGCAGGTTGGTTGTCTTCATGTGATAGTGCAGGGTCTGGTCCTTTCCTACTTGGTAGCATCAAAGCTGCGGCTGAGTTGTTGCAATCATGATGTGCCCAGTGAGATAGCTTGAGTGATTTTGTTCCAGTGGCGTTTCGGGGTCAAGGAGCGAAAGGAGTCGCTTATCTTTAGGATGGTTTTGAAATCGAGTGCTTGGTTGGGGACTGAGGTCCCATAATCATGTTACGATCCCCATGAAACCAGTGTTATAAATAATACAGTACAATTAAGTACAATCCTTTCTTTAACCCTCATTTCCGGTGCCAACCCCATGTCGGTGAATCACCGCATCTCATGGCTGCCGTCTTTCGCCTGGTTCCCAAGGCATATCTTCACTGGCAGTTGGGTCATCGCTGGGAACATACCCTGGTGAATACGCACTCCCGGGACCATGTGACTGCGAAGCGTGCCACGCCTCTGCCGCTCTGCGACCGAGACTTGGTTGGAAAGCCAAAGGATTAACAAGTTACTTCAGCGTTGGGCCAGATCCTACATGCTTTCTAGATGTTGTGTAAATATATGTAAATATCATGCAATGCTTAGAAAGGGTCCTTTCTTCCGCTTAGACATTGGTCACATCAAAGAATTCGCTAGGATCAACAACACCGCTTGACAATCTTGAAAGTTGGATCCACTCCCCCGTGCGGGTTGGTACCTTCACTGGATCATTTCCCATATGGCTTTGTCCAGAAAATGGAGCAGCTGAACGTCCATAGCTTTAGAATTGCCTTGACATGATAAACCACATGGCCTAAACGGTAATCAAACATGGCTGACTGGGAAACGCTCGAACGGTTCACCGAAGTTTATACAGCTGGAACATCATCCTCAATGAGGAATTTTCAAGCAAGCCATGTTTGATAACCAGAGGGTGCCCCTTACAACTTGGGACTTTACCAATTTGTATGGGTGCTTAGGTCCTTCAAGGGTGAAGGTGCATGTTTGACTGGATTTTATTCAGGTGTTGTACTAACCATTAATACCAACGAATATCCCGTTAAATCCCATTACATCCCAAGTTTTGTCATGGTTCATATTGAAAAATGCCATAATCTGGTTGGTGGTTTCAACCATTTCTTATTTTCCATAATATATGGGATGTCATCGTTCCCATTGCCGAACTCATATTTTTCAAGATGGTTATTGCACCACCAACCAGATTATTATGGTATAATATCCATTATTCATGGTTAGTATAATATCCCACTATAATAATATATACCATTATTTTTTGCTTATAAATACCATTATTCTCCCATGTGGAATATCCAAGTATCGTCAATCTCCTTGGACCATGGTGGACAGCGTGGTCGACGCCAGGACTGGTAGATCAGCCGTATGAAGAGATGGTGGCTGCCTTCATGGCCAGGTTTTTGGACATGGATTTGGCCAAAGTGGCAGGTCGGATTCCATGGGATTCCATGGATCAGTGATGAGTGATGGATATATATATATATATGGATATATATCTTTATATATATATATATAAATACAATAGATATTATATTATTATTGTTATTATTGTTTTTTAATAACATTATGATTATGATGTTTATCATGTTTAATTTTATAATTATTATATATGTCATAAATGGCAGGTATTGATTGCATATCCAAGGCATTCCAACACTCTAGTGGAACTGGCTGTCGTAGGCCGCGTGAATGTGAGACGAGTGGACTATGAGACCGACTATGTGAAGGAATCGGAGACTTTTCCAGGAGATTTCCACGTGGATACAATGGGACTGTCATTATTAACAACATGTTTCCAATTAATTTTCCATGATTCATCCATGCCATTATTAACAACATGTTTCCAATTGATTTTCCCAATAGCTGCTAATAATGACATGGATGAATCATGGATAATGAATTGGGATCATGTTGTAACCCAATGCCATAAACCATCCCATTTTCCTTCGCGTTTGGGGGTCATTTTACATCATCCCAGTCATAGGGGTTACCAAATAAACCTCTATTTGGCATGGTTTATTGCTAGTTTACCACATTAGTAATGTTGAGTCAGGGTGAACCACCCCGGCATTAGTTAAGTCATGTTTCCATCAGGTATCTGCATAATACTGTTCAAACTCAAATTGGATGGTTTTTCAACCTCCCAGATAATGGTGCGACCCTCGCCCCCAAAGACCTCAGACTTTTTGTGGTACTCATTTACTGCAAGCCCCTTTCACTTTTAATTGGGATTACAATGACTGAGTTACTTGCTGACCCTTTGGTTCATTCCTTCATTGCGTCGCGAATCATTCCTTTGTTTCTCATGCCTTTATCACCCTGATGGATACTGATTCCAAATGAATTTCATCTGAATTCATCACATCCCTCTTCTGGATGTTCTGCAGCTTCCACTAGAATTGGCACCAGTCATTCGTGCTGTTCTTATAAGCACCTTCCAGCAACATTGATTCCCATCAATGGTGGACGTTGTGTCATTGGTTACCATTGGTTACTGGATAACCCACTGCAATCCAGTATAATCCACTAGCAGTTGGGATATATTGAGATGATATGTTGACATATGCTTTTTTTCTCAAGACTTTACTGCTCGGATGCCCAGCTGGCAGGACTCTCGACGATCTATGCCTTCTATAGCGCGCCTTTGCGTGTTGAACATATCCGACCGTGGCATCTTTGGACATTTTGGATGGTGTTTGGAACAGGGGAACAGATCAACCAAAGTATCATTAGAGATCATGAGAGTAAAATCCAAAGACCACCTACAGTAACATACAGTAAACAACATAAAGAATTTGTTGCCAGCAAATTTGTGGATGTGCCTGAGGTGTCTAGTCCCACTTATTTCTTGTGTTTCTTTGGATCAAAGCACCATATTTGTCGCTTCAAGCCTCATTTTTGTTGGTTGAAATCAAAGCTTTGTTGTTTTAACCATGTTTTTACTATTTTTTGCTGGGTGAAACTCCAATTTGTCGTTGTAAAAACCCCGATCCATCCAGCTAGCAGGTGTACTTCACCCTCGAGATGTCACTACCGCTGAACTTCGGTCGACCCCTCATCCGAACTCAGAAGGCGAGGCCATGGCAGTCCCTCCATTTCTATCCGTTTATTTAAAGAGAAGGCACTGGGAGAGAGAGAGAGAGAGAGACTCAATTTCTTTACATTGATTCATGATCGTGAATTTACCATGCTGCCAGCCGGGTCTCGCAGGCCTCCGATGTGGAAGAGCTACCTGGTCAGGTTTTATTCATTGGATTGGTGATATGATATAGGTCTAGGTGCTATGTAAGGGTGCTATGTCAGGGTCTTGTATGGACTAAGGACAAAAAACAAATCAAGAGGCCATGGCAAAGAAATCGCAAACAATCGGTTATAACCAAATCAAGACTGGAGGTTATAAAAATAAAGCGGTTTGAGGACACTCCAGACACTCCAATCTGTCATGGGAAAGAAAACGTGGTTTCAGTAGATTTTCCTTAGTTCGATCCAGTGATGCAGAATTTATGTTTTGGTTTCCTCGACCCTCCACTGCCGAGGAAAAAATGGTCGTTCTAAGAAGATAGGTCAAACAAACCAAAATATGATTCACTTTGTTCCAAACATGTATGTTTCTGGGAAAATCTCAGCACTACGGCCGGGTACACAAACCGTGATGATTTTTGGAACAACCAAAAAAATCCGAAAACTACCTAAAACAACGAGATTTCAGGATTTGCGGGTTTTTGCGGGCTTTTTGCAGGTTTTTTGCGGGCTTTATCCCCAGTCGTTTGATGCGCTGCAAACATTTTTTGGCCTTTGTCTCACCAAACCCAAAAACATGCAATCAAAGTCCTAAGATCCAAGATCTAGGTGTTTTGGGTAAAATCAGTCGATATAGGTCAAATTCCGAAAACACCTATATTTTTTCTAGGATTTGGAGGGTCGAGGTTGTTATAACAGCGGGATAGAAGAACGCAAGGATGTGAATGCAGAAAAGATGTGGATGTAAACATCCAATTTGATCCAAAATTAATATATGAAGCGCGAGGTGAGTGTAGCTAACACAAGTTGTGTGCAGATGTGGCGACCAGGTTTCCTGCTGCCGCAGTGCGTACCGGCTGCAGGTATTACACCCGTGGTGCACAGAAATGGTTTTCTGTCCAAGGTTTAAGTTCCTTTGCCAGAATGTGAGTTTGACCCAAATGTGCAGTTTGGATTTTAAACAAATCAAGAGAACCATACAAGCGCTCAAGCCATTTTGGCTCAAACCTGCCTACGAGACCTATGTGGTAAGCTTTTGTACAGTTGCATGCGAATTTGCACCTCGCGCCTCTCGATGGATCAGTCATCAGTGAAGAAACTTGTTTCTTGCTTGGGATACCCACGGGGAATGTTAGCCAAAGGACAATGTGATGCAACATGTTGATGCAGCTCTACACCTACTGAAGCATGCAGCAGTAAGGACAAAGGCCGACTTTCCAAAACCTTCACTGAAGCTGACCCTTTACTTGGATGACTTGGTTGGAGGACGTCATCATGTTTCCTCTGAGAGAGGTGAGGCCCGCACTCTTCACTCCCATGAAGCTGCTGTGCAGACAGACAAAGGTCCCTATCTTTCGACGGTGGCTGGGACTGTTGCAAACAATGTGGGGGGACAGATGGAGCCCCTTCTCGTCTTGCTGAAACAAGCGCAGGATCATTCTGAGGCACTTGAACAAAGATGCCACGACCTTGAGGCGAGGCAGTCTGTGTTTCAAGAGCGGGCGATTCAAATTTCTCCCAGACATGTTGGCTGTCGTGCCGACATTCCAGCTGAAGATTCTAGGCTTGCAAGGGAGACTTTGAAAACCAACGGGGCCACCAGTCAGCCTTCCATGCATGTAGATGTGCAGCCCGCAGCGGTTCGCATAGACCCTTCAGAGCTCAAGCAATTGAGAAGAGAAAGAAGACGACGTGAGCTTCTAGCAATGGCGCTTGGTAGATATTTTGGCACATTTTAGTTTCGACTTCTGCGGATGAGCCCATATGTGGTTCTATCTTGCTTAGGTTTGTGTACCAGTAGTACCGCACAAGGCGGTGGCGGAAGTTTCAAAAATAGGAAACCTATAGCCTATAGGAGAAGTTGGTTGTTGTGAATCAGGGATGGCAGAGCGAAGCCACTGATTGACCGAAAGGTGGTTGGAGTTGTGTTTGCTGGAGTGGTTGCAATGGTTGCAATGGTCACCTCACCCACAACTGCTGGATGTAGTGTGATGCAATGCAACTGTAGTTGTAGTTGTAGCGTAGTGGAGTTGTAGTTGCGGTGTAATGTAATTAGTGTAGTGCAGTTGCAGTCATATAGTTGTAGCTGTAGTTGTTTTGTAGTTGTAGTTGTTTTGTAGTTGTAGTTGTAGTAGTTGTTGTTGTTGTTGTAGCTGTAGTTGTTGTGTGGTTGTAGTTGTTGTGTAGTGTAGTTGTAGTAGTAGTTGTTGTTGTAGTTGTTGTTGTTGTTGCTGTTGCTGTTGTTGTTGTTGTTATTGTTGTTGTTGTTGTCGCTGTTGTTGTTGTTGTAGTTGTTGTAGTTGTAGTTGTAGTTCTAGTTGTAGTTGTTGTGTAGTTGTTGTGTAGTTGTTGTAGTTGTAGTTGTTGTAGTTGTTGTAGTTGTTGTACTTGTACTTGTTGTGGTTGGTGTTGGTGTTGGTGTTGGTGTTGTTGTTGTTGCTGTTGCTGTTGCTGGTTGCTGTTGCTGTTGTCGTCGAAGTTAGGGTAGTTAAGTTAGTGAAGTTAGTTAGTTAAGTTAATCAGTGTCTACTTTTACACTTTTGACTTCGAAATGTGCTTCGCGCCACAACGGCGTGCACTTTTTCGACACTTTTTCGACATCTGAACCTCCAAAAGTGGTCCGAGAATGGTGTGTTTTGTACATTTTCACTTGGAAATGTGCTTCGCGCCACAACGGCGTGCACTTTTTCGACATCGGAACTTCCAAAAGTGGTCCGAACCTGGTGTGTTTTGTACATTTTGACTTGGAAATGTGCTTCGCGCCACAACGGCGTGCACTTTTTCGACATCTCAACTTCCAAAAGTGGTCCGAGGTTGCGGTGTTTTGTACATTTTGACTTCGAAATGTGCTTCGCGCCACAACGGCGTGCACTTTTCTACATCGGAACCTCCAAAAGTGGTCCGAACCCCTAGTGTTTTGTACATTTTGACTTGGAAATGTGCTTCGCGCCACAACGGCGTGCACTTTTTCGACATCTCAACTTCCAAAAGTGGTCCGATCCTCTAGTGTTTTGTCCATTTTGACTTCAAAATGTGCTTCGCGCCACAACGGCGTGCACTTTTTCATGTCTCATCTGGCCAGCTGGCTCCGCACCCGCCGCTTTAGCGAGCCTACTTTTCGACCCTCCGGAGCCACAAATCATTGGAAAAACACAGTGAATCGCGACTTTCCTACCTTTTCGCGCATCTGCATCTTCTTTCTTCTGATCTTTTCTCTTCTGACTCTTTTCACCTCTGCGTTTCAACTGTCCATATTGTCGGAAGTTTCACTTCTAAACTTCCTTCGATAAATTGTACACTTTGACTTTGAGTTCTGATATTTGTCATCTAGCTATGGCTCTGTTTGGCTGGGCCACACGCGCGCCTTCAGCCTCGCTGAACTTGAGAGATGGCGCTGGAAAAATCATACAAGCACTTAGCATACTTAATGATTGGCCCCTGATCTGGCAGGAGAATCTTAAGCCATTCGAGGCTGTTCCCCCCAAGCCAGATCGATGGTTGGATGCTGGAACGCCCAGGCTTTGGTTTTGGCGTCCCAGCCACATTTGCCTCAGTCCGCAACGCATTAAAAGCGCCTGGGCGTTCAATGGCTCGTGTGTGTGGCGTGGAATGAGGGTTGAGCACGTAGACTACTCTTGCAGAATGCAACAAGCATCAAGAACAGTAGATGCAAAGTAAAATAAGTAGATGATCCCTGAATTTGATGTGCCTTAAGCGAAAACCAGACATCCATGGAAATGCAGCATTTCCTGTAGCCTCCCGCATTTTTTTTGCAAAGGGAAATCCCTCATTCCCAATAGGAAAATCATTTGTATATAAATGGGAGGGTTTCTGGAAGTCTTGGTGTGTTGAAAAAAAACAGAAATCACACCCAGTTCTGTGAGACTTGCTCCACCTTGAGCTCTGAAACTTGGAAGTGCCCATTGCCCCAGGTGCCGATTTATCAGCATATGAGATGCACAAGAAATACGTGTCCTGGCTTCACTAAAAGGGTGGATGACCATTCTATCCACTCTAGTCTTCCCTATGGAGAGGGACTTCAGACTTCGTGTGGTCACGGATGGGAGATATGAATTCATAATATCCTAACTTTCAGCTCTGCAATAAAAACAGACATTTTGCAGTACCAGGTCAGGTTCAGGTTAGATGACTAGAACGAACCGGTCAGTAAGGCCATGTACTGTAAAGAAGATGTGCAGCCCCACGCAGCCATATTTAACTATCTATTAGCAGTGTATATTAGCACATACTGGAGCAGGAAATTGCAGATCCCCAAGGGCAAACTTTGAATTTGGGGAAATTTCTACTCCATGATGTAAAGGAATATAAATGATGCAAATGGGTTTCGGTTCAAAAACTGATCATCACCCCAACACCTTATTTGTTGAGATCTCAGGATGCAGCCCAGAGGGCCTTGGAGAAGGCCTTGAGCCTGGAGACCAATAGCGTGCCATGGCCCCCGGTGTCCGGGATGGGTTATGACTGGGTTAGAACATTACCAATGTGAGGCCTGCAAGGAAACCATCCCCAAGGGGATCGGGGAAAAAAATCGGTCAGAATTTCCACATGACCCTGCGTTGTTTTAGGCAATTTGAAGCATGGATGAAAATGGGAATATGACAGTTGTGAACTATCAGAGTTTAAGATAATGGGAATTGTGTGTATTTCAGGAAGTTGCCTGAGTTGTTTCATTGCCATAAATTTTAGCTGAAACCCCTAATTGGATGGTAAACACCATGGCCAGCTCTATCCATATCATGATCCAACCATAAACAATTTCAACCCTGGTGGAAAGGAATTATGGTTCCAGTATTTCTGTGGAGAACAAACACCCCATTGAATTTGATGGTATAAACCTTGTTTTGTAACTTAAACCGTAGGTGTTCACCTAAAAAAACGGTACATGTATTGGATCAATCCGTTGATAATGGTTGATATGTTGATCAGTATCCTAGTCGCTGATGGTTCCCCCCAATATTCCCTATAGATATTAAACAGAGACCATTGAATAACCAAAATCCCTCTAACATAACCCAAATCCTTGTAGAATCACCAAAAAAACCGTCTAAATTCCATTCAATAGCCCCTATCAATGGATGAGTTTTGAGGGAACATCTACAGGAAACCATGTTTTTTACCATCAAATATAGGGGTTCCCTGTTTTCATCCATTTCTATGACTCCATACTTTGTGACATTTTTAGGTGCTTCGTGTTCTGAAGAGTAGCTTCGATGGAGGGCAGCCGATCATCCTGCTGGTGGCGGTCTATCGCTCCTTGCCATTGACTTGTTCAGTGGATGTTGAACAAAATGCCTGGAAACATTCATACCATATGCAAATATAGAGAAATATTTATGGAATTATAAACGTTATATAAATTTATTATACATATATATATATACACGGTTTCAGATGGAAGTTGACACACGTATTGAAATTGGACCATATGCGAGTACATATGCACACGTCTGGACATGGATGTATAAATATATATATATATGCAAATATGCTGCGGATGCGCCAGGTGAGGGTCTCTATAGTTTCTTCTTCCTCCTTCCTTTTAACTCCTTCTCCTCCGGCAGCCTCGGAACACAACTGCGAGCTCCAGATCTCAGTGTGCACTGCCGGACCTCACCGCACTGCCGGACCTGGGACACCATAGAGAATGTCAGAATAGATGCCTGACAGAATGCCAGATAGAATATCAAAGTTTATGCCAGAAAGAATGCCAGATAGAATGTCAGAAGAAAATAGAATAAACAAATATGCCATATATACTTCCAGATGGTATGTCAGAAACTTTGTCAGAATAGTCGGAACTGTGTTTCAGGGTGGGGATCACTCGAAGAAAGTAATTTTAAGCATATATTGTTTGATTCACATGAAATATGTGCTGGCACATGGACAATATTGTAGGCCCCAGTCTGTTCCCCAAGCACCATCAACGAACCTCCAATGCAACATATCTAACCACACAGTTCAGTCACAATTTCATGATGTTTCTCCATTTGGAGGTTTCCTAAATGGGGGGAACCTCCAAATCATCGATTTCAATATGCAATAGAACAGCAGGATGTTCCATGATTTCCCATTCTAAACATTTATAAACCATCCATTTTGGGGGTAATCCCATATTCTTTAACGACCCTTTATGGCTTGTCACGTTGGCAGCGATCCATGCCCGGCTCTGAGGAGAGTCCCTGAACACCACGCAGATCATGGTGGCGCAGGTGATGTGGAACACTTCTGATGATGAGGTGGGCGATATGGAATTTTTGTTGGTTCAGTACTTGTGTAGATACAGTATTAGGTTTGCTACTGATGTAAGCATGCCTGCATCAAATCGATTCTAAGTTTGTGTTCCTGATTCTGTGTCAATTGCCGCCAAAAGCTAAATTTTTGGTACTCGCACACATCTATTGTATCACATTGTTCCATTCCGAAGTAGATAATATAGCAGTGCACCATCCAAAAAACGTGGAATATCATTGAGAGTGGCAGATAGTCCATGTATACTCCAAGATTGAGCTGATCAGCTAACCCTAATCTCTCGCAAAAAATGCTATGCCATGACTTCCATAGCATTCAATCGCCACCACCATCGATGGTTCACTTCCCAGGTTTTGTTGTTTCAACAAGTTCCCCCACTAATATCCACTAATGTGTTGAAAGCCAATGTCATAAACCATCCCCGGTCATGGTGGCTTTATGGCCTTGGGTTGCCCACGTTTGTTGGAAAAGTTTTTTGTATCAACTCACAGCGGCTAGCGGCCAGGTCAGTGAACATGGCCGCGCAGGGCAGGAGCTGTTGAAATCTTTGGAGGCTTCGCAGCGTTTGGTGCCAGGCGCGGTTGGGGGATGAGTTTCTCCTGGGAAAAAGTGGTAGGAAATCCGGAGAGAGAGGAGTAAAATAACATGGTTTTAAGTTTTAACTAGTTTCACGGTAAATTGACCGCTGTATAAACTCATAGAGATAGAGATTTTGAAGTTGGAGACATGGAAGTGCCTTATAGTTTGCTAAATTGGTTTGTAGCCAGCGCGTAGTGCATTGTAATTAATCATCATGGTTTGTGGTAGATAGATGTAGAACCATGTGCATGCAACTATAACAAATGGGGTGCACAAACCAACTTATAGTTTAAAAATAGCACCACATTCAAAACATGGCTCTAGCATGTTCTGGCTGCTTCAAAAAGTACCAGAGTCATTTGAGTCATCCAGGTTCAATCTAAATTGGTCAGGGTTGGACATTGGTCAATTTGAAGTGTGATGAAAGATCGGACAACGGGACAACGAAGTGGAACAACCCAGATTGCAGTATATGAATACGAGCACACTGGGTGATTCCAGTCCTTTGAGTGGGGAATCTACACGAGGATGTCCACAAGTGCATGTGTAGGTGCACTTGCACATGAATAGATCTAGCTGTTCCGGAAAACCACCCATTTAGATCCATTTGTATAGTTTGATGATTTCCCCATTCGAACCTCCATTTAGTTTGGCGGTTTTCCAGCCAGCCATGTTTGATGACACCACCGGGTTTACTTTACTCCCATCTCTCTCCCACTATTTATCACCATATTACTCCCAGATTCCCTATTAGTAATCACTAGAGTACCACAAAGATACCATTGGAAGCACTATTATTAACCATTGCCAACCAGTAATACGATATATATGAACCATTATAACCGAATTATATATATAAGACTCCATTGAGACACCCTATGGTTGGTTATACCTCCATTACTATGTTCCCATTATACATTCCCAACTATCCATGGTTGCTTAAAAAGTTGTGTTATATGTTTTTCATTGCCAAGAATGATCCGGTTACCTACCCATATTAGGATATGCCACCCATGTATTCCCATTGTTAATGTGAATAGTATCTCATTACCATACAACTCCCAAGATTAATCATTGCCATGCTATTTCCCAAGAGAGTCCATATTACCATATTATTACCTACTATCCATATCACCATCACATGATATTTGGTAGGTATATGGATGTTATGTTATCATATGCTATTTGGTAGGTATATGGATGTGATGTATACCATTGTTACCTATTATTAAAATTCCCATTGGCTACCCATACCATTGGAAACGCCGTTATATAGGTGGACTTATACTTAGAACATCACTTGGAAAACGCTGCTCCTTTATTTTGCAGGAATGTTCTAAGGATGTTTACAGGAAAAAACACGTAGAACATCCAAACAAATATTACACTTACTGTAGAACAGTTGTGCACATGGTGATGTTCTAAGTGCTTGTCCACTAAATTAAAAGTCATGGAGAATACAAGTTTGCAATACTGTCCAAAACGCAGGTGAGTATAGGAATGTTTCAAACCAGTTATTGAAGCTTTGATGTGCGTAGAACAGAATGTGCGGGACAAACGGACAAACCATGTTTTCAGCAATAATTCCAGTGTCAAAACAATACCAAACTCATTGCCCCTCCAATCATATCTCCTCAAGCCGAGAGCCACTTAATTAAATCATGAGACCACTTCCCCCCCGTCAAGATGCATGTTTTTATGTGTTGATGTTCTAACTGTTGGATTCGTCCCAAGTCCTAAGTGATACACCTAGAACATCCCAATCTTGATTTTCCTGGTGTGCTAAGTGTGTGCTCTTTTGCATTTGGAAAACGTTTGGTCTAAGGAGAAGTCTACCTATATATTACTGTATCCCATGTTATTCCCATATTCGCATTAGTTTTTTTTTATTATGGAAAACAATATCATATATCCAATGTTATTCCTATATTTTATACCTATATTTTATACCTATATATTATCTCAATATTACCACTGATACGCCCAATTTTTCGAATTCGGTAGGGACCAAGTCGTCACCTTCGAGGCCTAGGGCGTTTAGCACACCAAGTGGGTGGCCCTGGCAACTACTTCTGGGATGACAGCGGCTTGGAGCAGAGCTGAATCGTTGGGCCAAACGGTTTGGGGATGGGAACATCTGGGGAAAGCATGGAAAACCCATGAAATCATATGATAATTCTTCCATGGGAAAACCCACAAACCATCGGTGTGTTTGTTTGAAAAAATAGGAAAAACTATGAACACATGCAATTCAGCCGTGCTGAACTTGAGAGATGGCGCTGGGGAGCGGGGGAGAGAGAGAGAGAGAGAGAGAGACAGAGAGAGAGACAGAGAGAGAGAGAGAGAGAGAGAGAGACAGAGAGAGAGAGAGAGAGAGGAGAGAGAGAGGGAGAGAGAGAGAGATCGAGAGAGAGATAAGAGAGAAAGATAAGAGAGAGAAGAGAGAGATAGCGTGAGCTCTTCGAGAGTCTCTGGGAGAGCGTAGCTTTCTCTGTTGAGAGGGAGAGGGAGGTAAGAAAGTTTGATCGTGAAGAAAATGAACAAGTCCCTACTATTTGATGGTAATGGAAGGGGATATACCCTATTTTTAGGCACCCGCATGTGTCGCAAAGAAACAGCCCCTTCCAAGTGTAGGGCTCAAGAGGTTCCAGGATTTCGGTGTTTTGGATCCAGCAATTAAATTGGGTGAGGTAGGTCGAGACTGCAAATGCTCACATTCATGATTGTAAGGCCAGGTTTACAGAGAAGTTTGTTCTGAATTGTGATGTGATTTTTGAGAACATCGTCCTTTTAAGTCTGTAGCCGGTTGCAATATGGGGGCAGCCACTCCTAGTTCTCCCCGAGTGATCGTGAAAAACATGGCGGCTGAGATCGAAAGTTTGCGGTGGAAGTCTACCAGCTGCCCGGGTCTTGTTTCGACCAGCCAGACTTGGCGCAGGCGGGGCGGGGATGGTGGGGCACAAATTGAGGTTAAAAAACAAAAATAAAGATGCTTAAAAATGATATCACCTCGGATTTTCACCGCAAGATGTTGAGATATTTTTTGATCTTCAGTTGTTTTTCTGCCTTTTGGATTTCGACAATTTTGCTGAGCACCTGGCGCAATTACAATCCTGCCCTGGTGCTTCTGAACAATTGGTTTCAGGATCCCTCTGGTAATTTCACAGTTTGCGAACAGGAACATCTCCCTGTTCAATAGGTAATTACATCATCGAACTAATTGGGCCCTGGCTTCACAAATTTTCCCGGGTGCCACGAAATCTCAGGCCATTCTCTCACGAAACATTCAGGCGGGGGGACTAGGTCCGGATTGATTTGGGAAGTTTCATGTGTAGCTGGAACGAAAAATTGACATTGATATGGGGAAAATCATCAAACCTCCAGCCATGTTTGATTACTGAAGGGGTAGCTGCTGAAAGGAAGAGAAACGTGAAATTGAAGTCCGACAACAGTTTTGCAGCTAACAGTAGTGAACACTTTTGTTCGGTACTGATCATCTTCAAAGTTTGGTCAAGTGGCACCTACCGGAAGTTCTTTGTGATATCCTAACGTCTGTTATTGCAGGCAGAGTCATGATTTTCAAAGATAAATCATGCCAGTCTGTGTCTAGCGAACTCATGATTATTAAAACAAGACGATCAATCAAACGCCTGGATCCCATCAAATCTATCAATCAAACATCAGCAAAAATAGATATATGGGTTCCCATCACATATGTCAACCCCATGAAATATCACACACACACATAAATGTATATATCAAACATTAACATCAGCAAGAATAGGATTTTCCCCATCAAAACATATCAAATCTATCATCCAAGTCCCATTAAATGAAGAAATTTTTGTGGCGATCTTTGCTCCAGGTTCCCCTGGTGCTGCTCAGCGAGCTGTTGCCAGTCACCTATGGCCGTGGGGAGCGGAACCTGACGCTGCAGCAGCTCCTGCCCAACTTCGAAGGCGTGGCGAAACGAAACGGCTACCGTTTTAAGGTGTGATGATGGGAGATGTTATGTAAAAAGCGGGGAAACATAGTATAGACCCTGAAAACAAAACATCTAATATATATATATATGTATATATAAATGGATTTACCATGATTTACCCTATATGGTAATTTGATATGTTATATATATATAGCTACGGAAAATCACTTTTTTTGATAGGATTTAATAGGTAAATCATCAATACATGGGCACTTTTCCATAGCTATGTTAAATTGCGAGAGGGTTGGTAAAAAATGGGGAAACATTAACCCCAAAACAAACCATTTTTAGATCGTTGGGTATTCAATTGGGTTAGTTATTAATGGGGATATTCATGGATACTACCATGGCATAATTTCTGGCAATCAAACATGGCTGGCTGAAAAATCCCCGAACTAAATGGAGATTTATGATTGGGCAAAAAATAAATGTAGATTGGGGATTGTCCAGCAAGCCATGTTTGATTGCTGGAGGGGTATGCTTATAAATGGGGCATACTCTCCAGTATTCTCCAGTAAATTAAACTAGCTCCTAAAAATAGACTATCTTGAAGTGGAAACTCATGTTCCAACCCAACTCGTGGCAGCGTCGTCATGTTAGTTGGGGGGAGGGTAACTGTTATATTACAAACCATCCATTGATATCCTTGGTTTGCTGAAAATCAGTTTTTAACCCCATGGGGCATCCACCCAAACATAGAAAGTTGTTGACTTTGGAGGCACTGTAGGCAAATCCAGACAAATCCAAGAATGGGGTGGATAGGGGATGATACAACTAACAGGCATGGGTCTGTCCGGAATGGGAGGTTTATACCCAGGTGTGGCAACTTTGATAGGGACAATTCTCATGAATCAAAAAAACAGGTTCCTGCAATTGGTCCCTTAAACCAATCCATTGAAGATTGAAGATGGGAAAAGCTTGGCAGTTTTCTGCCAAGATTCCCTTGGAGTGCAGGAATTCTTGGCAGATTGGTCGGCCCTGGCAGTGTAGCTTGGAACATCGATGGTAGAGCAGGAGCTTTGTCATGGATAGAACATCAGGGTATGTGTCGAACCGCAGGAAAAACATGGTTAACCACCCCAAAGGATTGGGCTTTGAAAGATGATTTTCACACCCCTAAAAGAAAAAAACAAACAAACATTTTTCGCTAGTGACAAAACTCAATTTGAATCATTGAGCGATGAATTTACAGTACTTCTTATCTGTTTTCCAAGTTGGGCAGCCCAAAAACATAGCTGTGATATCCTGACGGCTTCGCACGAGGTCCTATTCCAATTGATGATGCAGGTTTCCAGAGGATCCATCGACATTGCGGAGACCTATGGTTTGGAAAGCTTCGGGTTCCTTAGCGATTTAGCGGATGATGCCCCGGTGGAGTAAATGTGGACTAATGTGGGCAACCCTGGCTGTCATAGACCTACCACTTGGGGATGGTTTATATCACCCATACTGTACGAGTGGTAATTTTGGGGATTGTTTATTCTTGGTTTGGTCCAAGAGGTTTGGTCAGATGCCATGTATTGCAGGGTGCTGCTGAATCCTTCTTTTTGATGCCAACAAATGCAACTTGCTACTGCTTAATTTCCAACTTTGATGCCAAAAATGCAAAACACCAGGTGCGATTCTATGTTTATTAAAAGAGGGTAAACACACTAGTTCACCATCCTGTTCTCCTATTGATTCTCAATTGCCAGAGTTAAGAACGCAATTGTAAGCAACCAACGAACCCGAAAGTGCCAATCCACTCCTATATTTGATTAATTGGGGGAGCTTTAATCATAGGGAGAAGAGATATGAAGAAAATACTGTAGTCTTTAGCCATCAAGAAGGAATATCATACACAGTCAACGGATTATTTTTGCAAGGTGTCTAAAACTAACCATATTCAGATTTTAGATGATTAGATAGTATGTGTGCTAATTAATTGTTTTCTTTTAAATAATTTGTCTATATTTTAATTTATATATGTACATAATGTCATATGATTTATGGTTTTCTTTTGGCTAGATCATGCTGCCGATCTTGATGGCCCCACCCCCATTACAAACAAACACTTCCTCAGGGCTATCACACAGTCCACGGATCCGCGCTTCAATGAGCACAGCGTCTTCCATGATCAAATGGGTAGCCTCATTGAAAGCATTTGCAGGCGAGTGATTTGTCGGGGTTCCTGAGGATGTTTTGCTTTTTTGAAGTGACATTCTCTCCAATGATCTCAAAAAAAGAGCCAAAAAGGAACATCACCATCTTAAATGGCATACAAATATGGAGAGAAAGAGAGAGAGGGAGAAGGCAGTGAACCATATGCCGATGCCACATCGGTGTGTCAAGCAATATGAGGCAGGATAGGACCAACATGGACCAACTGAGCTACAGCTGTCAAAGATGATGATTCACTTCAGCGTATGCACCATGTTGATGGGGAACATGATGATAAAACATGAAAGCCAGCGGTGCATTTTCTTGTCAGGGCCCATATGGGTATGTACCAGCCAAATGTGTAGCCATACTGGTATGGTTTATGAGTCACAGGAAATTCCCCGAAAAAAGTGTGAGTCCATATCCATATACACTTAGCGGGGCATGGTCATTGTTTCATTCTTAACGTTCCAAAAGATTTTGGTCCAGTGCCCCCCCTTTTTTGGGACAGACGGAACTGAAATCTAAATAAAACATGTTGGAGATAATCCGGTCCTTCCCACCCTGTTTTCAACAGAAGAGACATAGGAAGAAGATGGAAGAAGTAGCAACAAATCACCTTTTACTTTTTGTCCACAGAAACAAAGATTCGCCATGTCGGTTTGACCCAAGTCACCGCTGATGTTGCTGTGGCTATATAAGGGTTCAAATGGTTTAATGGAATATATTAATTGGCTTTAATTGGGATTCGGGATACCAGGCGTGGATATATACAATATGATCTATTTAATTAATGGGAATTCATACGCAACAGTATGTGATATGGTTTTTGTAGCGGGCACAATAACGACCTCACTTCCCTGGAAAGAATGGTCAGCACTTGCGCCTCCCATTGGATGTCTTCCAGCTGGAAGGGATGGCTACACAAACGCCCTCTTGTGAGTTCCAAACACCAATCTGTGTCCTGTAGATATGATATTCCCTTTAACCAATCCATTGAAGACAAAAACATCATATTCGCAATGGGCTGCATGCTGTCATATGGGGGCGAGTTCACCCCGGCCCCATCACTTGAAGATGTCCAGGCATATCACCTGGATCAGAAAAAGGATACACGGCGATCTTTCGTTGGGCCCAAAAAACTCCAGTTTGGGCAACACCCAACCACATGCTGACAATCCCCTTGCCTTCATAACTAAATGGAATCGGTGAATTCTCCATGCATTTTGGAGATGGAGAAAACCATGAAAAACAGATGAAAAAAAACAATCAAAAGTGGTTCTCTGGATTGATTGATTTCTGCATATCAGTCAATCTTAAGCGCCACCCAGAACTGAATTGTCTCCCAGACTCCCAGTTATGAGAATATAAGGGGGTGTCCCCCAGTTACGTTTTGTTGGTTTATAAGCCCCATTAACTATAGATAGATAAAGCATATATATATAATATTGTAATAAATGGTACATTATATATGTGTGTTATATCTATATCTACCAGTCTACCATTCAAACCCTGGTTAAACTAAAATAGCTATGGACACATCACCATTTGTTCAGAGCTTCCCAGCCAGGGGCCATTTAGCCGGATCAGGATGTGCCAGTTGCCGGCTCCGCACCACGCGCTCCGAGAGAAACTCTTCGAGGTCCAACGTTTGGGGAAGAGGTTGTCCAGTCGCTACTGGCGGAAGGAGGTGGGACCGAGAGCCATGGGAGCTGATAGGAGGGGGTGGCTTTGGGATGAGATTTATATATAGGTATGTATACGTATGTATACATATAAACATATATGTATACATGTGTATAAATAAATAAATAAATATATATATATATATAGTATGTATGTATATGTGTAAATGTGAATACGTATAATATGTAAAAATGGTTGTATTTATATCTAAAAATATACATACCCATATGTATATATATATATTTATTTCAAAAGAGAAAGAGAGAGAGAGAGAGTTAGTAAATTGAGCGTTTTGTGATGGCACATTAGCCATTAGACATATGATTTTGAATGTGGCTTAAATGTTTGGTAATCAGCGTTGGAAAAACAGATCGGAGTCCGGAGGAGATGGTCTCTTCTGAATCGACCATTTGAGATGTTGGTGGTGCCAATGAAAGGTAGATTTCAGCTTGCAAGGCACATAAAGGTCTACTAGCAACGGGGTTAACTACGGCCTATGACTGACTAATGATTCATCATTTGGCTGTAATTGGAGAAGGCTAGAGTTAAGGATGGCTTCGGTGGCCATGGCAAGATGTTGCTCCGGGATGTTGTTTATAGTGCCGTAGGCATGGAAGCCATTGTGCCATTTGGCCCACGGAACCTCGGTATGGGCAATGAAGCTTATTGCTGGATGCCAATACCAAGATCAATGCGATGTCTATTGGGTGATGAGGCCAGCAGATGTGGAGATAACCATGGATAACATGGATAACCCAAGGTATCAACATGTTTATGCGCATGGCGTGAAGTTTGACAGCGCTTCGCGCCTCAGTTAGTTTTCTGTTTGTTTTCACATGTGTTCACCCAGGAAATTTCACTCCGAGCAGTGTCTTGTTAGACACCTTTGGATCCAGTTGGCTCTTCAACTGGGGGACCCCTGCGCCTTGGCTGGACCTGGGACCTGGGACCTGGCCATCCCTCCACCATTAGCACAGCTTACTGAGGTGGGCAACCTCAGCTGGCAGCGCGGCAAAGTAGGGATGCCCAACAGGATGGGATTCCCTGGATTTCCCATAGATTTGTTTGGAGTTGGGTCGTTCCAGAACCTACTCTCTGACATAAGGCTGGAACCTTGAAGGGAATACCCTCCGGTAACCGGGTAACTTCACATAAACATACATAAGCTCCGGAAAATCACATGTTTTTAAAATAGGTAATTAAATGCGAGTTTCTACTCTAGTTATAAATGGGCCATGTGCATCCGGTTTCCATATAATCTATATAATTTGGGCGTTTTTAGAAGAGCCTGTGGCAAACCTCACACGAGAGCTGACAACAAACAACTTTGAAAATCAACAATGTTCTTTTGAAACAAAAAAGTTCTTTTTGAAACTTCTTTGAAGATGTTTCAACACATGAAAAGAAGTTTCAGAAACAACTTTCGTAGAGAAAAACAAGTTGCAAGAAGTTTCAGAAACTTTGTAAAACTTCTTTTCACAAAAAAAGAACTTTCAGAAAGTTTCTGTCAGAACGTTTCTGAAATTTCTGTTTTACAACAAAGAAGTTTGAGAAAGTTTCTAGAAACTTTGTGTTTTCTGCAATCATGTGAAACAACATTTTCATGTAACAACAAAGCAGACCTTGTCCTTGTTGAAAACAGGTTGTCCTTGTTCGAGCATTCTCCTGATGCGCAGATTTTTTTTGGCCCAAAATGTCCATCCTCGGATTGGATCAGGTTTTGCAATTAGCCAATCAATATCAGGCGCTTGCCGATGGCGGAGATGGAGGAGATGGAGGAGATGGAGGAGATGGAGGAGATGGAGGAAATTGAGGAGATGGAGGAGATGGAGGAGATGGAGGAGATGGAGACCGGCGCGGCCGTGGTCGTGGTCAACTCCGGCGCGGCCGTGGTCGAGGTCAACTCCGGCGCGGCCGTGGTCGAGGCCGGCTTGGCCATGGCTTGATGCAGGCGAACCACAACCGGCAAGGAGAAGCCCGCAGGGCAGGTGCACTCTCTTCAATGAAGCGGCGGCAACTTGTTCGGCAGAGCCTGCACTTTAATAAGACGGGCCACGCATGATCATCAGCTGCCAGGCCAAGACTTCAAGAGGCGCAAGCCCACAGGCAAAGGGAAATGGAAGACCTGGACACCGGAGGCCGTCCTGGGGGTTTTGGAAATGAGACGGCAACTTGCAGACAGTTGGCAAATGAGGTGGAGACCTTCCATCTCCGCAGGAGTTGTCCAGGTCTCGCCATTTCTTCTTCTTTTTATTTGTGACCCGGATGCAAACCCTGCTTGGGCCAATTTGCAAGAGTTATTGGGAATTTTGAAAGATCCGGAACCTTTTTTGGCCCTTTGGTTTGGAAGTTTGGTCCAGTTGCGCAGTGGCCACAGCCACGCCGGCGAATTGTCCGGAAAGCAGTTATGGTGATGACTTGGCAGCTGGCTCGGAAATTGGTTTTGCCTTGGCAGCAATACCCTTGTGGCCGCTGGCCTTGAAAGATGTGGACGAAGCGAAGCGCAAAAAGTGTGCCCGAGATCTGCTGAGGAGCCCGACTTGCTGTTTGGACAGTAGCTTGTCCAGGCGGCTGAGGCATTTGCATCCCCGTGAATCCGAGTTGCTGAGCTCAGATGTTCAGACATTCTTGGCTACAGTGTTCGCACGGATTGCACCAACATCTACATTTATTGAGCGCTGATTTGCTCAATTCACCAACTGGTGTGAGAAGAAGCCAAAATTTGCCACCTTGGCCGCCAAGCACGTCACTAGCTTCTGCAAGGGCGCTGCCCAATCCTGGAGAAACAAGCATCCCAACCACAAGAAACCCAACCACAGACAGAGGCCAACCTGGGCGCAAGACAAAGCGAAGCGCACCACTGGATACAACATGTTTCTCTCAGAGTTTCGTATAAACACGCAAGGGCGGTATTTCAGAGGAGATGATGGCCGGTCGGAATTTGTGCAAGAAGCATCAGCTGCTTGGCAGAGGCTTTCGCAAGGAGAGAAGGCCTCACACGGCATGAGACCCCGGGGTATGAATAGCTTGAGAAATAGGAGCGCAGGCAGCTTGGAGGAAGAGGAGCTTGGCGCAGATGACAGCGGAGGCTTGTGGGGCATGTGCCGTTTGAATGAGGCATGGCCAATTTCTGTTTGCGTTCTTCAAGCTGCTCTGGGAGAAGGGCGTCCAGCACTTAACAAAATCAGTGCTGAGTGGGAGCAGGCTTGCTTTTCCGCAAAATTTTCCAAGACAACAGCTTGGTTGTTTGAAAAGGATTCTGAGCATACAAAATAACAATGAGTGGGATGATGCGTGCCATGCCATGTCATTTCGCATACAAATGTCAAAGCTATGTTTAAACTACAAATATTATTTTGTGCTTTCTCATTCTATCTTCATTTTTTGTTTAGGCATAGATGCATCTATGACGTATGTATATTTAGCCCTATTAGGTAGACGTTGTTTTTTGAAATGCTGTATATTTTATTTTATGCATTTGCTAGGATCACGAAGCCTTGATTGAAGTTGGCGAAGACGAAGATCTGCCAGATGTCAGCGACAGCCTCTTTTCTGTTTGCCCTTGGGGCGGGTGCGAGGCCAGTTTGAGGGAAGATGAACGGACAGTTTTTCGCGAGGTTCACGAGGATTTGGTGACTGCCGTAAGAGTGCACGAACCCTTGAAACGCGATCTTTCTGCTCACCCACTTGTGCTGCAATGGTGCTCTCCTGCATCTGGCAAGCAGAAATACATTGCTGTGGCCTTCACTGTCCGAAAGCCTCTCTGGGACATGGTCATGTTTCAATTGGAGCCGCTGAATGGCCACAACGGCCTCGACTGCCCCTTTGTCTTGGAGCTCGAAGGTCAAGACAGAGGATTCTCGCTTCAATCCTTGCGCTCCGATATGGAATTCTGCATGGATCTTGCAAGAGAAGCCTCGGACTGGCTTTTGTTTCTTCTTAAGGTTGGGGAAATCACTGGTGCCTTTGCTTCCTTTCGGATTGTTGGGCGCGCTGCGCTGGACAGACATACTTTGAGACGGGCAGCTGAGGAGATGAAGCAGATTCAAAGGGCTGCTAAAGCTGCAAAGCTAGCGCAAGGTCTGACAGCTATCAGAAAACGAAAGCGAAGGACCCAAGGCAAGCGGAAGACAAGTCAGAGGCCGCTGGCCGCATCAGCCGCGCAAGACATCTCAGATGCAGAGTGGGCATCGGATTTCTGCTTCTCTCACAGAAGATGCAGAAGGGGCGGATGGAAGCCCGAGTATGCCCGCAAGCCTTGGGAAAGGCAGCGCGTCTGCGCCTCCAGGTCCAGCCGTCAGGCGGCAGAAACAGTCCCGAGCCATCCCATGCAAACCCTTCCAAATAGCTCCAATCATCCCTGCTTCCGGTCAGACAGGTTGGGGAGCTATATCTGCGGGCAATATTGCGATCGGGGCAACACTTTGTCTTGCAAGAAGGCAGTGAGCCGTGGTAGCACTCTGACCGATGCTGTGTGCATCTTGCGCCTCAAGCGACGGCTCATTGCCGGATGCTCTGATGCTGACTGGCCGATCCACAGGCAGAGATCACACCACGTTGAGCTTGGCGGCAAAGGGCTGCAGGACTTTGCCGAGGGTATGTCGGAAGCGGAGATGGATGCACTGGTGGAGTCATGGCGTTGACCCGCATGTCTGGCTGCTGCGCCTGGAACCGAGGTTTGCCACTTGCTCGCGCTTACTTAGACACAGTGCTCATGGCATACACGCGTATATTTCCATGGTGCACATGTGCACACACAGTCGCGCACAGAATGCTCTCGAAATATTGAAGTACTTGTTGACATGTTTAAACAATGTTTCTAAAAGAAGTTCCCGATAAACTGAGAAAGTTTCACCAAAGATGTTTCGTAGAGAAAATAAGTTGTTTCGTAGAGATTTTTTCCCGCAATATTACTTTTAATTAGCAAGTAAAATGTATCCGTAGAGAAAACATGTTGTTTCGTAGAGATTTTTTCTTGCAAATTTGAAACAACTTTCTTGATATATTTCAGAAACTTTGTTCATATTGTTTCCGACAAGTTTTTTCCTATTCTCCAAGCCCTGCCCCAGGAAAGCCGCTCTTACATCGACATTTGTATGCATTTGACTCCTGCCTGAAAAAAAGAACCTGCTCTGCAGCCTTTGCCTTTGACAGCCATGACTTGTTCTGTAACCAACCCAAGCTATATATTGAAAGTTTAGCATCCTTTTGTTAGCACGCTTCCCATTGGTGACATTTGTTCTATTGACATGACCTTTTGCTAGGGCGCTGCCCTTTGCTGACAGTTTCTGTTGCTCAAGCGACCCAGCGTACAGTGCCATGGCAGGGGAGGATGCTGTTTCAATTGCAGTTTCCAGCACAGCTGGGCCAGCTTGCCGCCTGGCTTTGCTTCCTGTGTCCTTCACGCTGAGTAAACCGTGCTGCTGCTGCTGCCTGTGCAATTCCACAAGCACAGGCCCCTCTCTGCTGAACACACCAGAGGAACTGGATTCATATGGGGGGGCGCGGCCCTGGGGGAAGTACCGCAAAGTACGAAGCGCTGAGACAGATTCGTTCTTCAAAGTTGGCGGTGTCCGGTCATGGCGTGCCCTTGTGACGGCCGCATCTTGAGGGCGAGGCCAAGCCTTGATGATGACGCTGTGAAAAAATGTGAAACAGAGTCTGCTGTCCGCAAGGTCGCTGGCCAGGAGTTGTTGACGGGCTCCTGGCTTTACAACATGTCCAGGGAGAATTTGAGATTGTGCCAGAAGATGGCACCAAAGAGACCTGCTTGGGGAGCTGCAACATTGACATGGGGGTCCATGTGTTCAGGATCAGAGGGCCCAGCTTGGGTAGTGGCTGCGCTGAACCAGCTGTTCGAGGAGGAGGGGTCAAGCTTCAAACTTGAGCACGTTTTCTCCTGCGAGTTCTCGCCTGAAAAAAGAAAATGGATCCACGCTTCTTCTGTGCTCGCAGAGCCGGCTTGTGCAAAATTAGCTACGATCGTGGAGAGCTGACGCGTGCCCGGCTTGGATCTAGAATCTCTTTGCAAAGCCCCCGACGCTCCTTGTGTTTTCTTCGACATTTTGGAGATGGGCGCTGCCCAGGCTGATTGCTGGGAGCACGTGCCTAGCAAGTGCAGCGTGCCAGGCTAGTTGGCACAAGTTGCAAAGATATGTCCCGCCAGAATGCAACCAGCGCGAGACAAGAGCTGGTGCTGCAGGCTGAAAAATCCAAAGGCGGCGCGCGCAAACCTTTCAAGGCCTCATGAGGTATGTGGAGCGTCACAGGCCGCTTATGATCTTGTTTGAGAATGTGGATGCAATGGACGATGTGAGCCTTGGCATTGCCCACGTTCATGTTTTTTATTCCACCAAGAATATTCCTTGTAGTCTCAAACCCCCACAGATATTTACAACTTAGGCGTCATTGATCCCAAACATTTTTTGACTCAGCTACTTATTAAGCAATGAAATATAGACTAATCCCGATGTCAGATGCTGTGCAGCAGTGGTTTGAGGCTATATAGTCTAAAGAAAGTTTCCAATTTACATATATAACGAAAGAAATTGAAACCTGCTTGCGTTTGGATTGGCTGATGCCGTGCGAAAAGTTTTTGCTTTCCTTCGCATGTAGAGGAAAAACTGGCGGTCAGTCCAACATGGACGTGTTCCTCATGCAGCCAAATGGCAGCCCATGGGTACGAAGGCCAGCCTGTCCTCACAGACAGCAGCGAGTTTGGCTTGCCTGCACGCCGCCGGCGCTTGTACGTCTTTTTGGTGTGGGTGGAAGCAAATCCTTTGCTGTCCTTCCAGGATAGAAGCGTGGATCCATCTTCTCCGCATTTGGCGGCCTTTTGTCTGGATGTGTGAGGCAAGGGCCTTGTGCTTCCGAAGCTCTTTTGGCTGACGATGACCCCGCGGTGCTCGCTGACTTAACCCATCGGATGCAGCGACGCGAAGAGCTCAGTCAACATGAAAAGCCTTCGAGCACAGAGTGGGCAGATCACCACATGAAGATGGCAGAATCTTTGCGGGTGAGGTGGGGCCAGGGGGCGCAGCCCAACGTCTCCAACAACTCATGGTACAAGACTTTGACTGACAGAGAGCAGGACGCGCTCCCGCTGCTACAAGTCCAATCCCCTGGTAGCCTCATGCGGGATTTGTCCCAAAGCATTAACCGCGCCAATGCCTTTACTTGGAAGGCAGAAGCAGGAAAGCACATCGCGCCCACCATGCTTCCAAAGATGAATTTATGGCTTGAACCTGTTCCACCTCGGAACGCAGCTCGGCTGATGTTAGGCCGCGAAGCCTTGCTATTCCAAGGATTTCCAGCGCTGCTGTTTTTTGGAACGCTTGGATACTTTTCAAGCTCAAGCGGGGGCCGCTGGCCTGGTTGCCCAAGCTGCGCAGCAGTCAAATACCAAGCCGCTTGTGAAAAGGGCCAAGCATCCTCACCAAGTCAATGAGAGGATTGACTTCAGGAAGCAGGACCTCTTGCTCACTTGGCGGCCCACAGAGACATTGATGCAGGACTTAGCTGGCAACGCTATGTCATTGCCGGTGGTCATGACGATGTTGCAATGCGCATTTGTCGCTGTGAACTGGCAATCCGCTGGCGAAGTGAGGCGAGCTGCTGATGCACCTGCGACGACGCAGCAGGACTGACATGCAATATCAACAACACTGTAGGGGCAACATAGTTTTGTTTTGCCACAAGCCAAGCCCTTCCCAACACCTGAGCTTCCTTGTCACCTGCTTCCCCTGGCCCCCTGACAGGATGTTGCTTCTGCAATGGCAGCCCTACGGGCAGTTGGGCTGTGTGAGGCCGCTGGCCTAGAGCCAAGCACTCCAAGCACTCTTGAGGTTGCGGAGCAAAAGGAGCCCCTTACGAGAGGAGTCGCCAACTTGAAGCATAAGCTTCAAGAGAGGAAGTCGCAATGAGTTTTGCCTGGCTGGCTGAAAAACGCGTCGCTGACAGCCCGGGGCGGCTAAGGGCAGAACAGGGTTGAGTGATATGATATGATATATGATAGGTATATGTGTATATATATATGATAGGTATATATGGTAGATATATATAATAGGTATCTGATAGGTTTTGTTAGTTCCTCCACATGGTTTTGGGATTCCTGAGGTTTATGATAAGGATTTGTCCGGCCTTTTTTGGATACTTGAAGTGATGCATGATCACTGCTGATATAAATGTTTTCACTGTGGGTAGGAGCCTGTCATGGAGCTTAGTAGACATATCGTAGCATACATTTTCGCACATATAAAGTTGACATCCTTTCAAGAATCAACATTGTTCTATTAAAAAACAAAAGAAAAAGAACATATCTTGAATTAAAATTAAAAGCAACCAAAAATACAACTTTTTTGAAACCTAAAAAACTTCAAAAAGAAGTTTCAAAAAGTAGTTGTTTACAAAAAAACAGGTCAAAAACTTGTTTTTACAACTTCTTTTTGAAAGTTTCTACGAATTATAGAAAGAAGTTGCATCTTTCAAAAAGAAGTTAGAAAGTTACAAAAGAAGTTGCAAAAAGAAGTTTCTAATTTTAGGCACCGTAAAAACTCCATTTCAGGCTCCTACCCACAGGCCTTCTAAAAACACCCAATATATAAATATAAAAAATATATAATAATAATATATATATATACACATAACTATATTATATACACACAACTATATATATATATTATATAACTATGTAACATCATTACCAGAGGCCAGGTTTTGCTCAAGAACACCTGAGGCCAAATGTGGAGGACTCGCGGCGGAAACCGCTTTGGCATCTTTTTTGGAGAAGGGTAAAATCGGGTAAAACTTGCGAAATCAAACATGGCTGGGAGATCCAAAGTTGGGGTTTGCGCCCTGCCCCCCAAGCATTGCGAGAGGACTCCAGCCCATCTTCCGCGATCTGGCGCGGCTGTCAGTGCGTCTGCTGATGGAAGGATACCCGGTGCCCATGTCTCTGCGACAGGCCACGCTTGGAAGAGCGCAGACGTCCCAAACATTTTGAATGGAGACCTTATTATATACATCTTATTACATCTTTTTACTGTTGCTGTTTAAAGAGGATTTGGTGGCATAAGATGAATATAGATGAATGAGATGGGGCTGATGAGGCCTTGTTGCCGTCGATTGCACCAGGCGCAATGCATTGCCACCGCCCAGTGGGTGGAATTGGAAGACATCTCTAGGCGGGGTCTGGATTCCCACATTTTCTGGGGAATTTCGCTATAGGGAAAATGGATGAAAATGGCGGTATAATTGGTGATTTCATGGGATTTAATGGGATCTAATGGGATTGGGAACAAGGAGATGGACCGGTGTATGTTTTTTTTGCTGTAGCATTGTCCTTCCTATCCAATCCACATCGTTGCGGTGATCCAGGTGGCTGGATGTCCCTCAATCCGTGGCGTATCTCTTTCAGTGACCCAGCTGCATGTTTTTTATTTGCCGTTTGCTGGTGGCGAATACATCTTAGTCCTTTTGTAGGTGTGGAAAGATAATGAAAGATGGGAGCACACGCCACCAATAGTTGTTGTTAACAAGCAGTAATTAGTCTTGAACACGCAAGACTGTGTTATTATTCTGCGTGTACATGTATAACCAGCACTGCACCCAGACTGCAACCAAGAAATATTGGCCGACATTCAAGGGTGCAGATGGGCCCAGGTATTGCTGATAAGAAGGAAATGGGATATGAGATACAAATCTGCTCAGAATATCTCAGAATAAGATTCGTGACTACCAGGGTTGGGAATATGTGGGAGGCCGCAACCAATCAAGATTGGCACCGCAGAATCCCATCAACGATAACAATCCCTCAAGAAGGTCTGATTGATTTGTTGGTGGGTACCTTTGGGAGTGTCTTTTTCCATGGCCTTACAGCCTGCAGGCGAAAGATGTTTGAATCGGAGTTGGCTTCGACGAACTCGAAGCCCGATGCGCGCATCAGCGCTGCGCAGGAATCCCGGGAGGGGATTATGGGTGGAAGCAGCAACGCTGTGCTGTTTTTGTTGGTCCTCATGATAATGTAAAAAATATCCTGATGATCTTTTAGTGTTAGATCTGGTAGGTTTAACATAGGTCATTGATTAATTATTAAATTAAGCCAGCAATCTTAATGATAATCCCCAATAAGTATGGAATATGAACATGAATCCCAGCCTCTGACGGCCGAGGCGTCAAGACGTGTGAGCAAACTTGTGGAGTCGTCCTCGATGCCTGGGAATGTGGGCTTTGACAATTTGCAGGGCAGGCGGAGGATTATGGGGGATTCCTGGAATGCCAATGCCCGGGTCCGTTCAGGTCGAATTTGATCTGGGATGGTTCTTAGGAAAATGCTATGGAATGGTACAGGCTTTTTTTTTCAAAAAAATAAAGAACTATTTCTTAAACACCAACAACACAACACATCATTTTGATATCTGTTGATCATCCCCGATGTTGTTTTTTCCCGGCAGTTCAACAGCGCAGGCTGGTGGGTCGCGACGAGGACGCCTTGCGGGCCTTCCGCTCTGCTGAAGCGCTGGTGGATGACGTGCTACGGCTGCCGCTGCTTCAGCTGGTGCCGGAGGATTTGCAGAAGAGTGGAACCATGGAGAAGGTGCCCAGTAGCTGCGGGGGTGGGGATGTCCACCATATGTGCACATGTGTATTGAGTACCTTTACTACATAGCTAAATGATACATATAATTACACATAAAGCATTTATAGATCAAAATCAGATATTGTATCGTTAAATGACAGGTGACGCCTAGGTGCCGGCTTGGGAAAGGATTCTAAACATTGCGCGATGCAATCCCGGCAATAAATCAAACAATGACCGGTTTTACTATTTACTTATCAAAAATGGTGATTTACCTATTAAAAATGGTGATCCACCTATTGAAAATGGTGATGTTCCATAGAAATTTGTGAAAAACCAGAGGGTTGAAAGTGGTTGATTGAGTTCATCTATTCTTGCCATTCCAGGCACCACCGCCGGACATGACTAAGTCCGCCATGTCATTTGCTTCCCTAGCAGAGGATGAGGGTGACTCGGCATCATGGAAAGTGACAGCATTTGGTGGTTCATCCCAGGAATGATAAGTGGCTTTGATCACCCCAGTTTTTTTAGTAAGGATAAGTAGGTCTAGTTCAGTCATAACTGGGGTTGCGGCCTACAAAAACGTTGCCTGGGATGGAGGGATGAACCACCATGGGAAACCCATCGATCCAAATGGATTCTGATCATAATGGCCGCATTCAAATGGCCATTTGAAAACCGCATAGCCCTTTTTTTTCAGTTACATAAACCTTTTATGCCAGAGTACACTCTGGTGAATCGACACCCAACGAAATCTCAGCCATGATTTCTCTAGCAACCCAAAAAAAAAGATCGAACAGTTGGAAACAGAAAATTAGGCAGGAAATCATCATCGATGCCATCCTGGGAATCACTTTTCTATCTTTTTGGGGCTTACTATATTTATCTTGGGGCATCTCAGGGTAGTCATCTCGTTTGACAACTACGCCTTGGCTGAGAGACAGGGCATGGCCTCCGAGTTGTTTCGGGAGACAGTTGCGGTAGTCATGTTAATGTCCCATGAAGGAAACAGCCAGCAAAATCATTGCACACATCTAATTGCCATACATAATGTTAAATCAACTAGACATCTCTAGCACAGAAACCAGAGTAAATGACGTACCATAACTGACGTTAAATCAACAAGATATTTCATGATCAGTTGATTTATTAAACCCACATTAAACTAATTTAACTAGACACCTCTACAGCAAAATCGTGGTGGTTGTGCCACCTCCTAGCCTTGGCATTCCCGGTCTCACAGAGGTAAGACAGAGGCGATCTACCGCGAAACGGCGTTGAGTCACCAGATCCCTGGAGGGTCCAAAGTCGTTTGGAGAACGATGATGGGTCATGGATTTAACCAAAATAACTCAGTTGTATTGATTTGTAACTTAGTTTTTGCTTTATATATATGTATATATATATATGTACTCAGTTTTTATGGAATTACCAGCCGGTTGATGTTGATGATGATGGTGGTGGTGGTGGTGGTGATGATGATGGCGATGGTGGTGATGGTGGTGATGATGGTGGTGATGGTGACCACCAAGCCAGGGCCTCCTTGAAAGTATTGTGAGGATGAATCTGGAACCTTATGTCTTCTCCCAGGAACCTAAAAGTAAGCAGGGTATTGAGCCTGCAACCAGAATCGTATCCCGCTCTTGCCAGTCCCATAGGATTGTAGTCAATAGGATTGGGACTCGATGTAAAGCTGGCTTGGAAAAAGTTGGCTTGAAAGGAATCTAATCGGAAGTGAATCCAAACATAATTCAACCATGGTGGTTTCCCTGGGGCTTGCTCAAAAACATCGAGAAGTGAAGTTCCTCACCTGCCAACGTTTCATGTGGACGACCCAGCCGCCCTGGTGCCCTGAGGAAACTGTTGCACCGCTTCGGCGAGGAGTCCCAGCGCTTGTGCTACGAGCGGTTTCTCCACGATCCCAAGTGGTTGGTGGACGCCAACCACCCCGAAGGTCGCCTGGGAATGTGGCGCTCATTGGGGAGCCAGGGAGCCAATTTCGTGAGCATTCTAATGACTCTTTTAGCGGTGCAAAAGATGAAAGCAGGCAAACAACATCAAACAACTAAGTTGCCAAAAGGAATGGTTTCACGCTTCAGGCAACACAACGACTCAGCAGTTGCAACTGCTGCAGGCAACTGGGTGGCAGACACTATTTTTGTTTGACTCATGTTTGGTTGGCACGGACTTTCTCCGCATTGACTGGCTAAGTGCCAAGTTGACTCATGTGCAACGAATGATGCGTAGATGACGCCAGTTGACTTGTTATAGCAAACCTGCTGCCAGCTATTCCTCGCAGACGCACGGGCAAGGCTTCAGAATGATGAGTCCATCTACATGCCGCAAAATCAATACTGTTGAGCGTGCGAGATTTACATGCTGAAACATCATTAAATAAACATATGGTGTATTCGACTATCCCAGCAGAGCATGAACTTGCGCAATTCATTTTCAGGCCGGTTTGACTGCCATTTCTTGCCTAATTTCAGTTGAAACTACCAAGCGTTCGCAGTTTTTTGTCGCCGCGGAGATCTTCAGGTGGACTATTCCCCGTTGCTGTTTGGTTTGCCGCTGCTTGAGGACGGGGCCTATGTGCCCATGACAGCGCAGGTTCTTCCTGCGTGAGCGTTTCCAGTTGTACTCCATGTATGCTACAAGTTCCGCTTCATGTGTTTGCAACTGTTATATAATATATATATATGTGATACTATACTATATGACATGTTTTTATTTTCAATCTATAACATTTTTTTTAAATGTATTATAGTGATCTTATCGTTATTGATTTTATTACTCTCTGCATTTGTTGCTGGTTATATGAATCACATCAAACAGCAGGAGCTGTTGGACATGCTGGTGGCGCCCGGCCTGGATCCTTGGCAAAAGGCGCCTCTCGGACGCGGACGCCTTTCGGACGCCGAAGAAACACATGGAATGATCGGTGAATGATTGATGATTTTGTGGGATTTAATTGGATTTTATGGTGGTTTAATGGGATTTAATAGGCTTTACCCTCTGCTTATTTAACATAGCTATGGAAAATGGCAACTTTTCATAGGTAAATCATTAAAGAACATCTATAAGTGGGCCATTTTCCATGGCTACGTTAAATAGCCAGAGGGTATATGATATATGGAAACAACTCAACATGGTGGAGTTATTTTCAAGATATGCTTGTTTTTTTTGTTGATGTGTTTTTGATTGAAAGAAACACGATATTCATGTGATGATGCTTGAAGATTGCCAGGTTGGGTAACTATCCAGGATAGCCTGATCATTACCAGCGATGTTTCAGGCTGGTGAGTTATGATCATTAGATATCATCAGGATATTTCAGGTTGGTGAAATATGATCATTTATGATCATTTAAATCATTTATGATCCAAGGTGTTTTCAGCTCAATATTAGATCCTATTTCAGCTCGGTGAATTATGCTAAGTATGATAATTTATGATGGTACCGGGAGTCAATGAAAAATCTGAAGGACCGGCCAAAACCTTCAGAAGTTTTCAAACAATCAATATGTGCAAGAGGTGGACTACAATCAATACGTCTTAATTTTGAGGATCCATAGCCACTACAAACATTTACAAACCACTATTAAGACAGCTCTCTGGGTCTTGTAGTGCCTATGGATCCCCAACATTAGGATAGCCTTGCAGGCCTTCGGGTGCAGCTTTGCGACAGAGCTATGCAACAGGCAGCCAGAAATGAGAGGACTTGCTGCGTGTTTCTTAATCACGCATTCTACGGGTGTTTCCCGCGTGTTGATATGGAACTCCATATGGACATCTAGATTATATTATACATATATATTTATACATTCTGTATCATATTATATGTATATGTATATATAATATAATGTGTGTATATAGATATATATACATCCATATATAATTTAATGATTTTAAAAGTTTGGGGAGGTTTTAGGAGCAGGGGTGATGCTGGGACCCCCGCTGGGAGCGCCTGGAGGCTCCTGCCGCTGCTGACCGCCCTGGGTGGCAAGGGGCCGGAGATTAGCACCACAGAAGATGCACAGAGCACCATAGGCGCCGGCTCTGGATGACCTGGATGGCAAGGGGGTTTGATGTCGAGGATGACCACAACCCCAGGTTGATCGTCATCGTCTTACACTGGGGGTGCATCCCTGTTAGTTGGCGTCTAAGCCATATATAGTCCATATAGCAGGTGATAGTTTCATTAATTTAGCTTAGCTGGCATATACTAGGGTTATTGCATGTTATTACCATAATTCGTGTATGGTCCATATATATTCAATATATAATCCAGAAATCCAGAAATTATCCAATACATATATATATAATATTATAGCTTCCTAGCACCACTGCCCAGTTTAGGCATCGATGTGCGCTATGCAGAGGGGCATCGCTTAGCTCAACGGGGAGAGGATGGATTCTGCTTCGGCTCCTGCGGCAAGTCCTCGGACGGTGACTCGGCGGCGCGTGCAGCCGTAGAATGCGCGCGCGCATGGAGCATTCTGACGCCGAAATTTCATGGGATTTCATGGTGGTTTAATGGGATTAATGTGATCTAATGGGCTTAGGATTAATGTGATCTAATGGGCTTAGGATTAATGTGATCTAATGGGCTTATGAAATTGTTCATGTGATGATTTGTTTTTGGATTTAGCCTCTGGTAAACTAACATAACTACAAGGAAAATCGCAATGTTTAATGGATGTAAATCAAAGAACTAAATGGCCATGTTCCATAGCTTTTTGCATGTTTACCAGAGGGTATTGCTGGTAATGTTAGTAAAGCAAATATGTACCATACATATACCATATTAAACCATCCATCTTTTTAGCTTAGCTGAACTCTTCGAGAAGGCGATGGGAGAGAGAGAGAGAGAGAGAAACAGTCCATAGGTTGATGGTGTTTTAAATCCCATCCATGAAAATAAGTTAGACGACTTAGTATTGAAACAACCATGGTGACTTGGGGATTCCCCATTTTAAGAATCCCCACTTCATATTTATATTAATGTTAGTAAAGCAATATATAGGATCCACCATCCCCAATGACTTACCCTTTTATGGGTGATTCGGGGTGCCCCCATGACTTTGGAATTTGTGTGAACACCTGGATCGTGGGAGTTCACCAAACAGTCGATCTCCAACCAGCTTGTTGTGACATAGATTGGTTAGAAACTGTCCATGTGTCTGTGTGGGCAAGGCTACCTGTCCGACGACTTATACGTACTTATACCGTATTTGGATAGATTTGCATGATTTGCGGGATAGAAATCAAAAACAAATACAGAAAACCATCTAAAGATTTAAAGCTTGTACCACAAAAGTTTGTTTGAGAATAGGGTACCCCAATAATTTCATGGTTGATCAGCAGGTTCCCTCGAAAATGTGGGTTTCTGCCCCGTGTCCAGACAAACCCAAATAGAAAATTCTAGAGTATAAGATTCTTGATTGCATATCCCATTGTAACATCAGTATTCCCGCATTATAGCCCTACTACGATTAGTTTAGCCATTTCCCCATGACATCCCCCATGTAGCCTACAGCCCAGGTAGCCTGCAGTTCCGACGTGGCCGTCTGACCCCTGAAGTTCTAGAGAAAGTGCTCGTGGGTTGGCCTTGCCCCATCAGTGGTGTAACAGCAGCAATGGTGCAGGAACAGAGGCGGCGCCACCAACGGGGACCGGTGATTTTTGTCAGGGATTTCAAAGGATGGAGAGAGATGTTTGTGGGGTCATGTTGGGTCAGTTTCAAGCCATTTGATCCCATGTGTAGATCATTGTATACCAGTTATAGCTTATATAGATTGCCAAACACTGACATATAGCTGGATTGCCAGTACTGAGTTATAAAGGTGATTATTTAGCAAGAATAAAGGCATAAATTGACGGAGATATTGAGATGTTTGTTGTGTGCTGTCCGCGAATAGCCGCGAACACCAGGAATAATCTTCAAAACCAAGAGTTGCGGGTTTGATGCAGGCATTTTTGAAAACCATCTTGAAAATACATCCTTTGTTTGTACAACTTCCAATGAAATCAGACACTACCCTCCGGTTATTTAATAAAAGCATTATTTAATAATAGCCGTCGAAAATGGCGCAAGTAATTTGGTAAAAATGGTCATTTTCTTGAGGGTATCAACCAATCAGTATGCAGATCCGTGAGCGTTTCCTATGTATATATAGCCTCGTCCCCGCTTCTGGAACTGCGGACCACCTGAATTAGGTTGGGAAACTTGTCCATTCCGGGACGAAATTTCGTCCCGGAATTTACAAGTTTCATTTGGGTCATTTTCATCATCATCATCCTCATCATCATCAACATCATCATCAGCATCATCGTCATCATCATCATCATCATCACATCATCAGCATCACCATCATCATCATCATCAGCATCACATCATCATCATCATCATCATCATCATAATCATCAGCATCATCATCATCATCATCATCATCATCCTCGTCCCCGCTTCTGGAACCGCGCAAACCTGAATTAGGTTGGTAAAACTTGTCCCGTTCACATGAACGTTAACATCCTGCCGCAAGTTCACATGAACGTTAACATCCCACCCCACCCCCAACCCCACCCCGCGTGTGCGTAGCATCAACTGCTGCCGCAAGTTCACATGAACGTTAACATCCCACCCCACCCCCCCCCCACCCCGCGTGTGCGTAGCATCAACTGCTGCCGCAAGTTCACATGAACGTTAACATCCCACCCCACCCCACCCCACCCCCCACCCCGCGTGTGCGTAACTGCTGCCGCAGTTCCAGAAGCCAGGACAAGCCTATATATATACATATATATATATACACGATTATATATGTATATATGTATACATATGTATGATGTATACATTCTGTTATGTGAATTATATGGTTATGGATCATCAACACCTATAGCAGTTCAAGGTTTGAACATCCAGGTTGGGAGCTGGGCAACTCCCACATCGCGAAGATGACCTACAGCTGCTTGGTCCAGAAGCAGAGTGATAGAATGAAGCCAGTGATCAATGCCACCGGGGTGAAAAGGTGTTGGTGTCGGTGTTGTTGTTGTTGTTGCTGTTGTTGGTGTTGTTTGTTTTTGTTGTTGCTGTTGTTGCTGTTGTTGCTGTTGTTGGTGTTTTTTGTTTTTGTTTTTGTTTTTGTTGTTGTTGTTGTGGTGTTTCCTTAATCCCATTGTTTTACTAATCCTTTTTTGCTTCTAGGTTTAGCGAACAGAAAGCCTCATCCTGCCTGAGAAAGATCCGATTCAGTCCACCTTTCTATTGGTTGAGAATGGGATTCCCCGATCTACCCTCTGGTTATTCAATATAGCCATGGTATAGATGGCCCATAGAAATAGATGTTTTACCTATAAAAAATGGTGATTTTCCATGGCTATGTTAAATAACCAGATGGTAATGGATTCTGATAATCCCCAATATAGGGCTGATAGGGTTTTTGAAGAATCATCAGGTATCATGAAACATGGAATTTTGAAGAGGTATAATTATGTATATTCATCCATAATCATCAGGTATATTCCCCTAATCATCAGGTATAATCAACAAGAGACAATAATGATATGGTTGGTTTAGTCATTAGTCAATATATTCCAATATTCCCCTAATCATAAATCTTCATAATCACCATTAATTACCATAAAGATTGTTATATGCCCATGGTATAATCCTCGATAATCAACCAGCAGGGCTCCATTAAAGTCCTCCAGGAAAGACGTCGAGCTGCTGGAGGTGGTGCGCACGGCGCGCAAGGCCAACCTCTGGAGGAAGAGCGCCGCAGGTGCCGTGGCTTCCATGAAAGATGCTGGGGATATGATGTAGGTAGAAAAGTCAAGGCATGTTGTGTTTTGTTGATAGATAGATATATATATATATATAGAGATGTAGATATATAATGCACTTTGCTATACTTTGCTTTGAACTTAAAACATGTTGGAACTCAATCACAAGGGATATATATATATATATAAATATATATATATGGTCTCGTGTTCCGTGTTCCTACCCCCCCCACCCCCCCAATGGTATGGGTCCCCAGGTAGCACCCCCTTCCCTTCTATTTGCAAGCTATTGGCAGCATTTCTGAGGTCCAGCCTCGTATTCCAGCCTCGCATTTACTAGGTACATGCTACCTTTTAGACGACCTACGTAGCAAACATACTCCCTCAAAGTACCTACGTGCTACCTACAGTCATATATACATGTGCTATGTATCTACTTCCTATTTACTTATTTACTACCTGTGTACTCTCACAACACTACATGTGTTTAAGATATACAGTACCTACCATACATTCCAATGATACCATACATACCATTCATACCATACGAACTTTGACCATACATACAATACCTATCATACCTATCATGCATACCACAGATACCATACATATGAAACAGAATTACCACACCTCCCATACATACAATACCAAACATACATGCCATACATACCATACCTACCTTACATAGTAAACATTCCATACCCATCATAGTAGCCATACATACCATACAAACCATACATACTGTCATATCAAACATACCATACCCAACAGACTTACATACCATACCTACCATCCATACAGTACCACACCCTCACCACACCACAGGGGGGGAAGGGGGACAGTGCCACACCCCCACCACAACACAGGGGGGGCAGGGGGACAGTACCACACCCCCACCACACCACAAGGGGGGAGGGGGACAGTACTATGGCTGACCCATGACCATGGCGTGGGGGAGGGGGGTTGGAACGCACGCTGGACCATATATATATATATAGATAGCTATTTGATTTGATATAGATTTTGAAAATTTAGTTTCATCAATTGTTTGATAATTATCAAACTGTTTACCATGCAGCTTCCCCAGGTCTCTACGAGCTGGAGCGGGTGCAAATGCCGCAAGCCAACGAGGCGGGAGATGATGAAATCAGGAGTTGAGTTACCCTCTGTTTATGTCAAAATAGCTATTGAAGATGGCCCATTATAGTTGATTTACCTATGAAAAATGGTGATGTTCCATGGTTATGTTAGTTTACCAGAGGGTATAGTAACTGTTAGGAACTATAATCGTATGGTCCGGCAAATCAGGCAAATCAGGCAAGGCTCCAAGGTTTGATGAGTATTAAAGCAATTGAATTAGTTAAATCCCGATATGATCCCCATATGTTTGACGAAGGAACCTTTATAAATGATTGCTACCCTCCCCAACATCCCCAGCTAACATGACGACCCTGCCATGAGTTGGGGGTTGGAAGACTACTTGTCTGCAAGAATGGGTGATTCTCAGGGTCTATGTTAGCTGCGGGATGGTCAAATCTTACTGCAAATAATTGTAGGAGGCTTTAAACTTTGACATTTCACATGTGACGAATGTAAAACAAACTACCGCAATTGTATGTGTTGATGATTTAATGTCCCAGATTCCTTGGTGAACTTGTGAATGATTTGAGGCTAGATTGTAGACTTTATTCGACGCACAGAACTATGAATTGACTTCTGTGTCTTCTGCGAACATCTCCATGTCCACTGCGAATTGCGAATTCTGTTGTTTTTTGGTCGTGCTGTAACCCCAGCTGAAATGTCATGATGAACATCATGGTGGCGCTTGACAGAAAGTGGCTGTAAGATATCTCAAAGTATCAATGTTTTCTATTGTTTTCTCAAATTTGTAAATGCCGAATCCCACTGACCATATACCAGATGGCTGCGACTTGCATCAACTTACCTTATCAACGCCCCATGAAGGTTGAAAAGAAGAAAAGCATCATCCGCAGCATGATGCTTGGCAGCCGATTCCATGGAAATTTGACATTGACCCAAGAATGACATGAACGCGGATAACATATGGTGCTTAAAAGAATCACATAGAAATGCACTGAGTTCTTCCTAGTCACTAGGAATATTGCCAGGGCGATCAGTTTCCACCCCTGGGATGACGAATCCCAACCAGTTGAACAACCAACAACCAACTGATTTTAGGTTGCGGTAATATCTCCTTACAAAATTGTTGTTTCATGCTGGTCATCTTCCATTTGTTTTGTGGTCCATTGGGATCCGGGTCAAAAATTTGCACCCAGGACCTTGAACTCGCGACAAGTGGCTCACAAGTTGTTGCATCGCAGCGTCACCCCTCGGGACCTCGAGGGGATGTTTTGCCCAAATATGGCAATGGGAATATTCCGAAAAATCGAGGTAATTATGGAGGTATATGAATAAGAGATTTCCAGCCGGCGCCATGTTTGATTAGCGGAGGGTAATACCGGTAGCCCGGTAGCACACCATTTCTGAGCAAACCAGACTTAGCGAACTAGCCAAGGACCAACAGAGAGCAGGAAAAGATAGAGAGAGAGAGCTACTGTTTATAGGTGGCGGTTTCATAAAATGGGCGGTACCCCAAATCATCCAAGTCATTAGAACATGTCAGGGTCATGACCCTCTTGGTTTTGGGTGGATCCCCCCGTTCATTAACCAACTTAAAACTGACTTCAGCATGGGCTGCACGAAAAAAAAGATTAAAAAGCTGTGAATGAACTGAGCAAGTCCTCGTGGCAGATCTTTGTGCAGCGACCGGGGACCATGGGATCCAGGTATCCATTTGGTGAATCTAATCCGCCATCCTGTGCCCCAGTTGAATCCCCATGATATTACCCACATTGGTTATGTTCCCACATATACCCATTGTATCAATGTTGGAATCATAATCAATGGACACTTTTTTTTTGTTCACATCGTTTATCGCTCTCCGTTCGTTTGCTGTTTACAGGATGTTAAAATTCCTGTTCATCCTTATGCATCCGAATTTGAGAACATCCATAGTTAATCAATGAAACCATAATATTATATATATATATATATATATGTGTGTGTATTCTCCATGAGATGGTTTACTTGCAATGACAGATGGTCAATATAGTCCTTGATTAGTTATAAAAATAATCCTTGGAGAAGCAAGCCGTTTATATCAAACCATCACAGCCTTATGTCCTATATGATTATCGATGGTTACCAATATGACAATGGTGATATGCAACTATCTACATACATATATACATACATATAAATACATGTGCCCAACTTTCCAACACCATTTTTTAATATGTATATTCCCGATAGTTTACCAATGATAGATGGTCAATAAGTCCTTGTCCGTTACATGATGGATCTCTGCAGGAGGCAGCAAAGGTGAAGACACTGGAAGTTGCTTCCCTCAATGACGGGCAGGTGCGACATTTCTGGTGAGATTTCTGGTGGCATTTGGCATGTGTTATCTGAAACTTGTATGTTGATAAATGGTCTATGCATGTCTATGCAGATAAATGTCACTTGTCATGTTGATTAAGATGTCAAACATAAAATCAACATTAAGGTGATAAATGTCACTGTAAAAAATATGTTTGTTAAGTCACAACTCAATTCCAACGTGTTGACTGCACAAAACTGTCGTAAAAGTGCTGGTCACGTGGCCCAACAAGACACACAACGATATCAGGAAGGGAGACCTTGGGGATCTACATAGATTGAATCTGTATTTCCATGTTGCAAGAGAATCTTGGTTCTCAAAAGCTTAAATCTGAATGTTGTCATCTGAATTGCTTCACCATATTGAATTTGTGAATGTCGTTTTTTTTTTTTTAATGCGTAACTTCCCATTTTGGCTGCTGATCTTCAAAATACCGACTAACAATCCGTTTGATCTTTATTTTATATATATGTATATATTAATTATATATATATATATTATCATGTATATATAAGATTTATTTATAAATAATATATATATGTATGTATATTATATATAATATTTAAAACTATGTATATATATATATATGTTAATTTATATATATATAGTTTAAATATTATATATTTATTTAATCCATATATATATAATAATTTACATACATATAC